GTCGACGGGAGCTGATCTTTGGGATACAGCATATAGGGGGTGCGGAACATATATTAATATATTTAGTAGTGACTAGACGGAATTGCGGCGAGGTCAAAAACTGTGTAGATAACGACGTCATGAGGGACTGATTAGCTAACTGATTTACGCCTGAGAACTACGAGAACAGAAGCTCCCAATTGAAATAGAAAATAGAGAGCAGATTGTAGATAATGCCTTTCATTTCAAATATCATTTCATCAGCGTTGTAATTGTAAACTCAAACACCTTTCGACCGCTACACCTTCTAGAGTTCTTGAGGATGAATGGGATGCTCGAATAAATATGATATGAATACTGGGCATTCCGTTTTGAGATATTCGACCGCTAAATTACCTCGATACTCGACGCATAGTGGTTGTTTACATCATCACTTTAGCTGTGCACTTCACTGCGCTTATCAAACAGTGAGATACAGCCAGCCTATGCAACGGACAGTAATACATTTAACGAAGCAGCTATAATTTAGCGATGAAACCTAAAGCTTCATCGATTGTCAGTTCTATCAATGCGCGCGGTAGCGGGCGGAGCTAAACTGGTGTAGTAATAGCATAAACTGATAATGTACATGGAAGGACTGGGCAAGTATTAATGACATTGCAAGTAAAAAAAAAATATGAAGAAAGAAAATCTAACAGTACCAAGAAGGACAACTGAAGTGAAGCACTAAAAGAAGAGAAGAAGGTTGTTTCACGTGGCGAGCTGTTCCCTCGGGCGAACGGAATAAACGACGCTTTCGGCAAGGAAGCACGAATGGCAATCATGTGCTGCTCACGCGAAACATAGACTACAACACGTGAAGCTACGATATGTGCCTTAATACTTTCAGCGCCTTTCTTATGCAAGTTATTTCAAAACCCCGCCAGGCGGGGTTTACAGAATTCGTTCACCATTTCCCACAGATATACAATTTTGATGGGAATTGTAGGCATTTGAATCCTAGGGAATCGCGCGTTTTACCGAAAAAAGCGAAAAGCTATTCAATGAGAATACAAGGGACACCGGCCACGGCCGTGCTTCACTTGCTGTATTAGCTCGGACGGCCGCTCAATTTTGATTGGTGCGTGTAGCTCATTCACTTCACAAGTTTACTCAGCTTTCAGTTTTTGACTTGGTATGAGCTGTCTGCGAATACAAGGTGAGGTTACCAACTGCGAGGGTAATTTGAGAAATATTGCTGCATCTGAGGAAAGTTATGGCAGTTCAAAGACAAAAAACCGAGGAAGCCCAAAAAACCGACCAACGAAACGCTCTTTGAAGAGAGAACATCCACAAAAGCTTGAGTATACTTAAAAAAATCTACAATTTGAACATTCTTACCACCTCACAATTTCGTATTTGAAGGAAAATCGGTTTTCAAAGAAAGGGGTGTCCATTCCTATGAAATTAAACTCTAATTCATAACAAGTTCTTAAGATACTGCACGACCATGAAAGCATCTTAAATCTAGCAGTGCTGCAAAATGGAAACTCGCCCGAAATTTCATATTACCAGGCCATAAAATTACACTCTTTGGCAAGCTAATGGTTCGTGTCGATCTCTTTCCCAATGCGATGAAGAAAGAGTTGTGCCCGTCAATGGCAACTACACTAGCAGCCGCACACAGGTCGCACTGGTGCATTTCTACACACAGTAACCGTTACAGGAATGGGGGTTGTATCAAGACTCTCTAGGGGGAGAAGGACATGAAGTTTTTGCAACCGGACCAACGTAGCGGGGGAGTCATAACTCGAGCTTCACGTCTATTCAACTGTAACAGAACTTTTTGCATCCGTCATCATCTGTGTAGCGTTGAAAAAGAGTAGATGTGGGAAAGAACAGGGGAGCCTATTGTTAGTTCAGCAGTAGTCGTGCACGTCGAAAAGGCAATGAACAGTTTCACAAGACCCTACAAAAGGGCAGTGAATCCTAAACGTACCATTCTGGTCACAGCCTTCAACAGAAATGTTCTTCTACGTGCTCATCTCACTCATGCTTCTCAACACCTTCACGGCACCCGAAGCCGCAAAGGTGGGGCTCATCTATACGGTCTTATGGAAATTCTACGATAGAAATTCCGTTATTTCCACCACGAAAACAAAGTCGTTTTCTAGGAGTGCAATTGACGCTCATGCCGGTGAAATGCCTACAAGCTGCGAAAGAATGAAGGCTGGAGGGTTCTGCGAGAAAACTCCGGACGAAATGAAGGAGTACTGCGAAAAGACATGCGGCTTCTGCCAGTAAGGTGACATCGCCTCCATCAAATAAAAAGTTTCTGGCGATATATCTGAATTGTTTAGCCTTCACATAGTGTGTTATTAAACGTTTTTTCAGAATAGCCTCGAGTTTAGTTTCGAAAACAGTAAAAAGTAATAAAGAACATGTGGCTGGTGTTAGAAAACGTGTCAATTAAATGATTTGTAACGACATATAACATTTGAGTCTTTACACATATTATCGAAGCCACTAATTACTTTAAAGGACGAATTCACGCTGGGAAGGCAACCCATTTCAAATTAACTCAGGGATGGTGATTGGTACACGAAAGAAGGAAGAACCATGAGAAACGGCCCAGAACCCGAGAAATGGGACCCCTTCCTTCCCCGCTGATTTGCGCATTGATGCGACTCTTATCGCTGTGCCCTCCTCAACATCACGCTCTCTCTGCTATCTAATCAATCCCACGTATAGATCTGCGGCGAGTGATCAGCTGGTCGGTGGGCGGAGATCGCCAGACCCGCCAACTTTGAGGCATAATAGGTCGCCGAGGTCAAATTTTTCGATGCGAATTGCGCATCAGTTCGCACCCTCAGGAGGTCCATGGGTTACTCAACTAGGTGAATTACTTCTTCCTCGACCTCCATTCTAATCGTAAAATCCTCGCCTTCCAAACACGGAGCCTATCAGCGGAACGCATCGGGAAGCAAGGATTCGAAAGCGCCGTCTTTCGCCAAAGCGATCCGCCCACATAAATTTTAGCTTGTGATTTGGACGGCTAGGCGTGGCTCGCAGCGGCGTGCAAAGTCATCCTCGCCTAAAACGTAGTGGGCACTGATGCCATATGCGTCATGGACTCATTATACTTTTCTGAGTTTTCATCAAGTGAAATTCAAGTCTGAAAAGTCTGGCGTTTCGCGCTTTCTTGTCGGACTTTCGCTTTTTTTCGCCGCTGGCGTACCTATTGAGCACCGCCACGTCACTACTGTAATATCACCCTTCTTTGAATTATCACAGTAATCGCGCGATTTGAGCTCCTTCGAAAGAGCCAATCTAGAAAACAGGTGCTAAGAAGAATGTGCTGCAGACCTGAGCATAATCGTATTCTTGTCCAGTCTCTCACCTCGCGGTTTGTTTACATGGAACTGCATTGCCTTTCATTGCTTCAGTCTAACTAATTTTTATGCAGTAAGTATCAGTAACTCTCCCTCCAGTTAATACCGGTGAGCCTGTTCTGCCTCTATCTATCCGAAGCCGGCGTTTTCCGCAGTTGTTCGAAATTTTCTCGCAAGGTTGCAGTGCGGTTCCGGCAATGCTCGATTTTTCTTGCCGCTCACCAGTAGCATCTATCTTGGCAATTGTCTAAACTGAGGGCTGTTTAGATTGTGGCCGAATTCGATTCGTGACATTCCGGTCACTCATCACAGACCCAAAACATTGACATGCATATATATTATATTATATTACCAGTTTTGCTTCGCCCGCTATCGCGCGCATCACACGGCAGGCTTTAGCGAAATTGGAGGACCCATGGAATATCAGCATGAGATACTCCATTAACCATCTCACTATTGACTGTGTTAGACCCTCCACAGTTTCACTGAAGCTCATCGAGAATACGCGTGATAACGTCTGAGCTGAACTGGTATATTGATCACAACTCTGTAAACATCCAGCATTTTTCTTGAATTAAGATAATTTAGCGGTGAATAGGATTGCTGTCAGTCTCAAAATCAAAACGAAATATGCCTATTTACATAAGTGAGGAGCTAATGCTTATCATTCATTTACATTCATCATTATTTAGAACCACGAAAGGATTAGCGGTTTAATGAGTCTGGGCTTTCGTGATAGAAATGAAACTTATCATTTGCTGAAGACTTGATTGAATTTATGCAATCGACTGCTATTAAGTAAGCTGGATATATATCGAAAAATGTGCACGTACCTTTGTTTGTACTACTACGACATACTACAATTTGTAAGTAGGAACGCTCTAGTGTCAATGCTGCGTAACGAAATTGACGACTTTTGCGTTCTGGCGCGCCTTATCGGCCCTTATCAATCGTTATCAGTTTCTGGCACCCACCAACAATGTCCCCGTCCCACCCCACATAACACTTGTAAGTATGGTTGCTCTGGTGTCAACGCGAGCCAGGCAACGGAATCGACGACTTCAGCGTTCTGGCGCGCCTTATCGGCCCTTATCAATCGTTATCAGTTTCTGGCACCCACCAACAATGTCCCCGTCCCACCCCACATAACACTTGTAAGTATGGTTGCTCTGGTGTCAACGCGAGCCAGGCAACGGAATCGACGACTTCAGCGTTCTGGCGCGCCTTATCAGCCCTTATCAGTTGCTATCGCTTCCAATCATGTACCACCAATGTCCCGGGACCGCCCCACATAACACTTGTAAGTATAGACGCTCTAGTACCAATATGAACGACAAAACGAAATTGGCGATGCTCGCTTTCTAGCCCCTCTTATCAGCTATTATCAGTCGTTATCAGTTCCTATCACGTACCACTTGTGTCCCCATCCCACCCCCTATAACATATGTAAGAACCACTGCGCTATCATTACTGTGACTCGAGCTATGAATTTCCGGTCAACACACACACACACACACACACACCACACAGACACACGCTAGCCGCTTATATATAGTAGGATGTGAGTAGCTACAGTATTGACAGTTAAATTATTAGTTTCTGACAGCTGGCCGGGAAAGCCCTGTCTTGTATCCCGCTGAATTCCCTACATTACAATTCCAGATGATTCAGCATATCCGCTTGGATCTGACGTGTACTGCGCGCTGTAGATGAAGGTGGACTTCACCATGAACAGGCAGCTCATTGAATGCTGAGATACAGATGGTTAGTGATGCACGACTGTAACAATGACCAAGAAAGTCGAGTTGAAACCTGGCTAATGGGACCTACTGTTTGCACGATTACCGCATTTGGGGCGTACTGCACCGATAGTAGCATTCCAGGAAAGACATACATATCATTCGGTGCGAATTGCGTGTCGGTCCGCACCCTTAGGAGGTCCGCATGTCTCTCCGCTAGCTAAACTTCTCCTTCTCTGACCTTCTATTTATCGAGGAACTCTCCTTTATGCTTAGCGTACCTATCATTTTTATGTGCATGGCACAAGTACATACCTTTGTTACAATTTTGCGTTTAACGTCGTGCAACAACTCTTCAAACGTATCAGGTGTTTCTGGTGCTCTTAGTGAAATTGTATTGTAGAGAGTACCGGGCAGATCATCTGAAATTGCGCGAAGAATTGAAGTCAATGGAAGGAATTTGCAGCTCAATGCAATATTAGGTGCAAACAAACCGCTTGTAACGCTGCATTTTACAGGATTATCAGACCACTCAATCGTGAAACGTGCTACCATTTGTAAATATCTGATGAACTCATTCGCAGAAACGGGCATATCCAGTACCTGTAACACCGGACTGATCGGAGCATAGAAATAAGACTTGTGCTTGTAGTACCTCTGTGAGAGAGCGTGCAGCCTCCGCTTTCACAAAAAATTCTGCACTTGCTTCTTTGTCCTTCAGATGTGAACCTGGTGTTTTTGCTAATGGCGTGACATCTCCTGGGGTTTCCGCTGAGAGTCCTTCTCCTGGCTTTAATTCTACAGCTGTTACACTGTCGTCATCCGTTTCCTGAGTACGATCGAGCTTTTCTCGGACCTCTTCCTCATCTTGAATAGAGTCGATACTGTACCCAATCAGCGGACTCTTCTGCAGCGCAACACGTCTAAACAAAAAAATTAAGCGATAGGCGTTGACCATTTTCTTTCAATATGCGCCACACATCCTACTTCCATTCATAAGCGTAATGGCATTTGAATGCTGTATGGCCTACACAGTTATTTGCAGAGGCCAGCCGATGTGTTGGCTGCGTAACACTACCCTTTCATTCTACGTTAGTTGTGAACTTGTCGATTTTTGACTTGCAATTCGACGAAAATTAGCCAGCAACTAAAGACAGGTTCCAATACGATAAGTCAAACTCCGATTTACATTGCAAGAAATCAACCAGTGAGGTGTCCTATGCTGGATCGCGACCTCTGCTGAACATTTCACCAATCAGAATGATCCCCCGGCAACCGCGGGACCCTCAGTTCTCTGCAAAGCTTGGCGTTCCTCCTTGTCACCTTATCCTTCCCTCCTCCCCCACTGCTCTCCAGCTGCCACTGCAGCACCTTGTGAAATGACTGAAAGTGTACTAAGTAGGTGTTTATATAGCCGTTGGGGTATTATCACAATCACGTTGCAATAATACCTCAACCGGATCGAACCGTAATCTTGAAGCGGTGCAGTCCCTCTCCCTCTCCCCCTACCCTTTCTTTTCTCCCTCCCCCTCTCTGCTCCCCTCTCCAGCTGCCACGGCAGCACCATTTAGAATGAGACTGAATTTGCTCGATCGGTGTTTATATGTATAGCCGTATGAGTGTCATGATCATGACATCAACATCACGGAAAGAACGACATGCACGCTGACATGCACGCCGACAAACCGACAGCCAAAGTTGTAGTTTACATCAAGAAGGGATAACTATCAGCAACTTGTGAAGTAGAGTCAATTATCTGAAGCGCATGGTTGTTTCACTTTCGGGCTGAGCTCGAGTGAAATAACGCACAAGTCTGCTTTCCGAGGCGGAGGATAGCTTTTCCAGTCAGCCAACATTCCAAACGTATTCGTACATATATAGTAGGAGCTCGTGCAGTAGCACATATCACCGCTTACCACGTGCACAGTTGGGACTTGAATCTCGAAACTACAGTGTGTCCCAAAAGTATAGGTTCACTACGGTATTCTGACGTTTTTACGACTTAACGAAGTTCGCAACAACAGTGACACTTGTAACCTCGCAACATTCCTTCTCTACCTCTGGTGTGCTTGACCAAGTTGGGAAATTGTTCGGAGCCGTACCAGCCACCAAACCTATTGGATGGGATTTTTTGATTATTCCACTTTGTTGACTCGTCCGCAGTGATAGGATGGAAAGGAAATAGGAAAGGAGGATATTGCCAAGGTTCTTGATCGAACCTGAGTTTGTTTAAAGGACGAATTCACGATGAAAAAGCAACCCATTTCAAATTAACCTAGGGATGGTGAGTGGTACACGAAAGAAGGAAGAACCATGAGAAACGGCCCAGAACCCGAGAAATGGGACCCCTTCCTTGCCCGTTGATTTGAGCATTGATGCGACTCTCATCGCTGTGCCCTCTTCAACACTACGCTCTCTCACCTATCTAATCACTCGCCACGTATAGACCTGCGGCGAGTGATCAGATGGTCGGTGGGCGTGCACTGGCCCACCGCGCCAAGATTGAGCCTTAATAGGTCGCCGAGGTCAACTCCTTCGGTGCCAATTGCGCTTCAGTCCGCACCCTCAGGAGGTCCGCGGGTCCCTCAACTAGGTGAATTACTCCTTCTTCGACCTTCATTCTAATCGTGAATTCGTCCTTTAATAAGAAGACTGATATTTATTTTCTTCGGAATACACTATTGTTGAGACACTTGAACCGTAAAGTTATCTGGTCGAAATTGAACCGCGCGAATGAGAAATGAGTCGTTTGCATGGCACCAAGCCGTTTACAAAGAAGTCGTAGTAAGCACTGAAGTTTATAAGATGTTTGATGACCTTGCCTACTCTTACAGAAATCAGAGCAGACCACCGTGCGACTGTACGAGATTAACGCTAGAGAGAAGAAGAGGAACAAGATTGGTTCACAAAAACGTAACTCAACTTTGAACTGAATATCGTTGTTTTCTAATCGTGAAGTTGAAGGTCTACCGAATGTCGGGCTAGCATTACTTCGAATGAGTATTTCAGGATAGCATGCGAATGTAACTTACAGCTTATGCCAGCCACATCAAAACTTTCCTTGCAGTTGAAAGGATACTTCAAGGTTGACTTCAATATTACATCACTAATTGTCGCATCCCGAAGGCTTAAAGCAACAGTTCCAGCAGGGTTTTACCTTCAACACTAATGGTATGGAACGATGCGCTAGTCCTAGTCAAGAACAAA